AAGAAAACAAATAAACAACAAAACTGAATAAATGCTTAACAGCAGTGAGAAAGACACGAACACCAAGGCCAAGGAGCAATAGGTTTAGGGATCGCATTTTAGTGATACTACTGGGATGCTCTCAAATGCCGATCCTCCAATTTATCCTCGAATCTCCAATCCTCGAGTTAGCCCCAACAGAGAAACAGTTACCGTAACAGCTGAGGCTAGAAGTCGCACTGTTGGACCAGGAAATTTGCTATCGCCGGCAATAAGTTTCACTGCATACGACGATTGATCGTAGAGAAACAGCCTGTCGAGGCATTGTGTAAAGCTGAAAATATTAAGGAAATGAAATTCAAGAGCCAAAACAATTGCTTACCACCGAAATTTTACTTTTTTGCCACATCTTCGGCTTTTTCTTGTTGCTGCTTTTCTTTTTTCTATCTTTTCATTTAGAGTATTATTTTCGTCAATATCTACTTCATTTCTTGCTTTTTTTTATTTTTCCACATAATTTCGAAATAGCCTCAGCTTTCACAATTTTATCTACAGTTGAAAAACAGATCAGTTTACTTTGGCTGCGAAATAAGCCTGCCAACCGCATCTGGAAATGATGAGATCAGGCGCGCAAGAATAACAACCGATGCAGCATAACAACCAGAAGTGATAAGTTCCGACCACAGCGGCAAACCCGAAGAGAGAAATTCATCAACACTGGAAAAGAAAATTATTCTAACGCAGTCAAAGTTTGACACAGCCTATACTTTTACAGAAAATTCGAATCAAATTTTTACCGCTGAAAAAAACAGTCAAACTGAAAAATGACAGGAAATCACGAATGTGGTGCAAGACTTTTTTGGGCAATTTTCCAAAAAAAAGAAATTTAAATTCTTATTTTGAATTTCTCGAATAATTAGCAAACATCAGGGTAACACAGCAAAGTGTTGACAAGCTTGTGTTGATAACACCTTAAGGAGATGGAAAGAACGTCGGGACTTCCAGCAGGCTGACCGCAAGGCGAGAGAATTGGTCAGAGCTTCTAGAGAAATCAATTATAAATTTGAGGAACCAGTTATGAATCATAACTTTTCCAACTATTTACAGCATTTTGAAATTAATTTTGCTTCTTGGCTTCTTTTTCCAAATTTTCTGGATTTAACAACTATGAAATTTCCTTTAGGAAGCATTGATTAAAAAAACAAACAAACAAACCTTATCAATGAGCGTTGCACAACGAACACATAGAATGAGGCAAGATCGTTAATGGACATAACACTCAAATTTCTCGTCTAAAAAATGCATTCTTTTCGCCCTTTTTTTGAAGATTGTATAAAAAAGAATATAAAAAACATGCGTGGATGAAAAGAAAAAGGTTAAAAAAAAAGAAAAATCAACAAACCTCTAAAGGCAACTTCAGGCGCAATAAAATATCCCAGCAAAAAGCGTCAAACTGCTGCTCATAATCGGGCACTTTTGATGCCAGCTTCGCCACCTTATTCCAGGACTTTGAAATAAGACCATTTGTTGCTTTACACTGCGCCATATGGCCTTTCACGATTGTATCTGCGCAAACAGCGTGCACTTTTTGTGGCAACCATAACTGGCCGTCCACATCGATGCCCCAATTCATCGAACCCAAAACACGCCTTCAGAAAAAACTAAAGTTACAAACTTCCATACGAAGCTATTTGAATGCAACAAACTCAAAACAGAGGACACTGGGAGCGATTTTTTGATGCCACATGGACAAAAGCAGTAGTTTTTCGGGCACTCTCAATCTATGCATTAAAATGCTCATTCCTCGAAAATTTTACTGAATTCTTAGTAGAAAATACTTAGAAACAACGAAGATAATATTTGTAATAATAAAATGTAGTAAAATATAAAGATAAAAAGACTAATAGGAATATTATTCTTAGCAAGTCTTTTTCTCAGTTCCATAGCTGAAATGAAAAAAAAAAAAAAGAACTGTTTTGACGCGATACCAGTTCGCGACCATCGAGCAAAGCAGCACCGGAGAAGAAACTACTCAAAAAAAGAGGCACGCAATATAGCAAAGTAGAAATAGAACCTGGCGATCCGGGACGCTGTGTGGTTTGCTGGCCTATTAATCAGCCATTTACCACATGTTATGCCGACATCATCTTCTGACAAACGACACTTTGACAACGGTGCCGTGGACAGAACCTCAACTGCATACTGCAAACATATCGATCAAATTAGTTTTCGGTTAAAACAGCATTTAGAAATAACCAATATCGACAATTTCATCAAGCAACCCAAAAGTAATCGTTACTGCTGCCAGGCATTTCTTGATGAAGCATCCAAAACCGTCCGTTTATGAAGAATAAAATGCTAGAGTTGCCAAACAGATGGAAAACGAACTCGACAGACAATCGTGGAATGAAGGACAGTATAGGGGGAGAAAGAAAGAAAAGGGAAGAGGAGGAGGTGGCGCAAAATTCAATCGGGAAGTAAAAATTACAGAAAACGGAAGCAAAATCAATCTAAATGCTGCAGCAACTAATCCGGTTTGTTCATAAAGGAAAAATTTAGCACCGATACGTTTGAAAAAAGCATATTTAAGCAAATACCAAGACCATCTGACAAGTGATTTGGGATCCTACGTTATTTTCAAGTAAATTGGGAAAAAATACAGCAGCTCTAGACAGGAGGAAATATTAAAGCTGGTACGCGCAAACTAAACTGCCAAGAATGTAGACATGGAAACGTGAGCAGTTAGCGAAGCGAACTAACCTCATCTAGGGTGTCGAGATTGCGGTCGATAAGGAGCAATATTTTCTGAAGAATACGCGGATGCTTATCAATCAGAACACCAATTGCTTCGGATCCCACTTTGTAGAAGTGATCACGCATGGAAACATCCAAAAAGCACACCTTGAAATATGCAAACTGTAACTTATGGCCTCAAAGATGCACGAATAAATGCAAATTCAACTCCATCCTTTAAATGCATAAGTATCACTAAATTCTGACACTCAAATAGCTTGATAACTGCAAATTCTAGCCTCTCCTCTCACCCCAAATGCAAGAATGATGACAATGTTTCAGATGCAAAAGTGGCAAACAAAGAATTCCTTGCCCTCCTTCAAGAAATGCTCCAAATTCTATGGCCCACAAACCAACAATTACGTGAATTACTGAATTGCTCCTTGTCTCAAGGATATTTTTTGTGGGTTTTTTGTACTTTAACTTTCTAAACCAAATTTTTTACATTGATAAGTTCCACTGCGAACGAATCGACATCGATGTCCGAAACCGAAATGATCGCTGCCAAAGCGGACACCATAAAATTACCATCATTGTTTGGTAAATCCGGCAACTTATCCAACAGACTCCCCGCTGTAAAAGCACAAAATTAAAAAATACCCAACCAAGCCATAACAGTGCAGTGCTAATTTGCAGTAGAAAGTACATATCACAGGGACTACACGAGAAATGAAACTCCGATTGGAAGCGAGCTTTGTTCGCTGTGCTGAACAAGTCGTACCACCGAAGAAAATAAACGGAAATCCGAGTGGCCCAAAAAATTCAAAACTACGTGGAACAAAAATATTGTCAACTGGACCGACAAGGGTAGCAAACGCGACAGTGAAACAGGAATTCAAAAAAGCCTATCAAATTTGTACCTGTCTTAACCAAATGCGGTAAATCCACTTCGCGAAGTTCATATAGCTGTGATACTGTCATTGTTACTTTCCTCCGAAGCAATATTTGACATCGCATTCGGCACGAATCACTTACAATATCATACGGCAGATCAACCAGAAACTGCCACAGACCAAGGCTGAAAATTTCCCCAAACATTTAAGCATTTATCAACTTAACAGAGCTTAAACTATAGCTAGAACTCTTTATGCTAATAAGTACAAATGCACAGACATACCTACATACACATACATACATACATGCATGCATACACAAACATACATACACACATATATACACACACATATACACACACCAATGTCCTTCACTGCTAAAAACTGTTTGTGCTATTTTCACAACGTATTTGTGTGTTACCTTTCAAAAAACTGAAAAAAAGGTTTCTTAAAAAGAATAGACCAAAACCACGCAAATAAATGAGTGGGGATTCGATACTAAGCATACCACCAGAATGCACCCACACGTTCGGTGCAGCTGTCCTTCAATGGAGATGTAAAACTCTAGCAACATTTCCCACTTTTTCAGTGTATGTGTGTCATCTGTCCTTCTAAGATTGTCCACTGGTCGATTACTTTTGACACGAGCACCAATTTTGTGAAACAATGAAATTAGATGAAGTAAAAAATAACCTCTGCTTGCCGACAATGTAATATACAGCATGTAAGACAATTCGG